TAGGCCCTTACACGAAAGTCAAAATCAACTCTGAATCTGAATGTAGAATTTTCAAATAATGAAATTTTTTATGAACAAGTCATACTAAAGGGAATCTTTTGACAACGATAAAAATATTTGCATTCCTCTTCATGCATAAGATGAATATAAGAAAGTCTGTCCCATCCAGGAAATATATGTTAGACGAACCAGTTTCCGTGTCTCAGTTCTCCCTTTACTCCTCCAAGAACAAACAGGAATGACAAATAGTTCATATTTAGTGTTTGAATCACATTACAGGGCAAACAAGCTCTCTGCTGAGTGCAAACCCCCCTGCATCTTCCCTTTTATTTGGTTTTGCTCAGCATTTTAATTAGTATTGGTTTGTGCCTAGAAATTTTGGCATGTTTAGAGCTAGAAAGAAGTTTTAACAGATAAGCCCTACCTGGTCCAACAAGACAAGACTAGGACCATCTGGCAAGCAAAATAATTGAGGGGGCATATAAAAGGAGACTTTGTACTCCCATCTCAGGCTGTAAAATAGTGCAAAGAGAATAGCACCTAGCAGAGGAGATATAACAGAATTTACCTTGCCTATGAACTTTCCTGAGTACAGACAAATCTGTAGTTGAAGGGTAGTAATTACTAGCACCTAATCTATGCCATTATTCACACTCTCCAGGACTGTGAGGTAACAACATGATTTGGCATCCATCTTCAGTTGTTCTAACTACCTGCAAGCCACTCCTGAGCCCTAGTATCCATTAGTCCTAGGATCCTGATGGCCTGCTGTCCTAAGGGATTAACAGAATTTAGTTGCAGTAGGGGGGGGCATTATAATTAAAGCACATTACTAAATTTTTAGACTGGTAAAGTGATGGCTCTTGTCAATACTGAGGAAACAAGAAGGTACAAATGCATGGAAGAACAAGTCAAGAGCAATGAATGGTTTAAGGGGAAAAAAAGGAACTGAAAAACATGAAGAATATGCATGAAAGCATTTTAATCACGATGTCCAAAAGCAGAAATATAAGAGACTAGAGATTAGCACCAAAAACAATTAAAGCAACTGAAGATGATGATCCATGTGAAGAGAGATTGGAAATCTTGTGAGTGCATGGTCTTGAAGGAAGGCAAGCCAATATTGCTCCAAAGGAAAAATAATCTTTGTATACTCAATAATCTCTTTGCAAGCCATTTTTAATGCAGGGGGGAAACTTTTTCCCAGATGCGTAATCTGTCAAAATCCCTGTCACAGGTATCTCAAACACTAAGAGTTTAATAGGATTCTACAAAAGAGTATCATAGATACAGGCACTGCAGTCACCATTATCTTTAAGCAAAGGTAAGTGATGACATCTTCATTTTTCAGAACTTCAATGAACACACAGGTGACAGCAAATCTTTCATTTGGAATACTTTGGCTGTGCAACAGAGAGCAGTGCAGTCGTCTCCTAACAAGCTGGCCAGAAGAATCATGACCATAGCAGTTCTCAGCTGTGAGTGTGGAGAAGGCACTGCAGTCACCATTATCTTTAAGCAAAGGTAAGTGATGACATCTTCATTTTTCAGAACTTCAATGAACACACAGGTGACAGCAAATCTTTCATTTGGAATACTTTGGCTGTGCAACAGAGAGCAGTGCAGTCGTCTCCTAACAAGCTGGCCAGAAGAATCATGACCATAGCAGTTCTCAGCTGTGAGTGTGGAGAATACCACTCAAGTCTCCTAACAAGCACTGATCTAAGCTGGCCAGAAGAATCATGACCAGAGCAGTTCTCAGCTGTGAGTGTGGAGAAGAGCTTACACTCTGAAGCACCAGGCATCAACACTACTCCCAGCCCAGATCTAGTTCAGTCAATTGACCTTGTCTGATCCAAGCCACAGTCTATAGATCCCTGGTAAAGATGCACACTCTGAGACTGAGGCCTTCAACAACTATTCATTAATTCAGCTTTGTAGTAATCTTGGAAGTTGCTAATATTGACCACTGCTGAGGCAAGATCATTTGAACAGCTACTGCATTGGCATTACGCTGTAAGTGAAGTCCCAAGGGCACATGTAATAAATATTTCTGTGAATGCATAGACCTAAGCAAAGAACCATCATCTGTGTTCTTGGAAACTGTTTATCTTTTCAGAAAAGTTTCCAATTTCCTCTGCATGAGTCAACTGACAGTCTCTGAGCCCAGTTCCTTCCTATATATACACACACACAGACAGTATAGACCCACTGTTTTCATTCCAATAAAAAACTGCCAAGGAGCTTCAATCTGAAGCTACATATCAGACATAGTCAGAAATTGCAAACATTACCTTCTGAAACCAAAACAGACAGCTGTAATGGGCCCAAAACGTAAAGTCTGAGAGATATACTGAGGAAAAGGTTATTAAATACTGAAGAGGAGAGGGTTGGGAAGGAGGAGTTAAAAATGTTATTTTGAAAGCACTGATCTGATATAGCCAGATGGTGTGTAGACACATTCTGGGCAGGTTTGAAAGCATTATAGTATACTTGAACTTGCCTGCTAAGCACCAGGCAGCAGCGACATCCAGCTAGGTAGCCCTGACTCAGGCTTGAACTTGCATGTTAAGCACCAGGCAGCAGTGACATCCAGCTAGGTAGCCCTGACTCAGCTGGGGTCACCCTACCCCAGTGTTCAAAAGAATATTCTTGGTTGCTCATGTGCATCCAAAACTAGGTTAAGTTATGAGTAAAAATCCTGGACTGCAGGATATCTTTCTTAAGCACAAGCTCCCATGCTAATAAAATGACCCCTTGCAGGTAATGGTGACAGAAGCACAATGGTTTGCTTAGTAGACAAAATCTTGACTAAATACAAGAGCTGAGAGGAGGTAAGAGGCATAAAAACTACAAAGAATCAGTAGCAAATATGGTCTCAAAGGACACAGCTGTCTACCTAAAATCAGTGCTCAACTTATACTGCCTTTCTAAAGCTGCCCATGCATCTTTCTAAAGCTATTTCCTCGTGCAGCCTGGCAAAGTTAAACATTGGGTTAAACTAAATCATGTGCACAGACTTTGCCATTTCAGTACCTCTCACCCTCAGGAAAGGGGACATTTTTACATTCTAGAAGCGCTAATTTTTACATTAATGCTTCTTTATATTTTCTGTGGATGTGCAAACACATAGAAACTGGATAGTTTTAGTCCTCCCAGCACAGATTTATTACTTGAGTTGGTAAAATGGGAAAGGAACTTCTGCTCTTATAGTTTTTATGTATAACACAGGAGATCATGTCATCCATGAAACTGAGTCTTACTTCAGTAATTATTTTTCACTCTGTCAGATTTATCTAAGGAGATACATACAGTGTCACATTAAGGCATTCTTAAAGTGATGAAACATAAACCCATAGTTTTGTACAGTTTTGAAGATTTATAAACTCAAGAAACAGAAAACAAGTGTATGCCAGCTCTTTAATCTGACTATGAAGTGGTGATGGAAGGGTCCCACTTGCTAGTGTCAGGTTTGAGATTTGCAAAGCTGCTTCCCTGAACCAGGACTAAGAGTACAACAGTTTCATCACATTTGAATGACAAATCCACCATCAAACCAAAACTGTTGTACAAAGTTGAAGAGAGATAATTCCTCCAGAAAATCTGAATTCTCACTTTCTTCTCTTTCTTCATCTTCTGATGAAGAAAACTCTTTTAATAATCATAGAAAGCTTTCATTTTTTGATTACCTGGTTGAATAATTCTGGTAACAACAGAGAGATACTCCCCAGGTTTCTGATGAGTGGAAATCTCTTTGATGCCTCCATATAAGGTCAGTATTTCACAAATAATCTTTGAATTCTCCACCCCACAAAGCAGAATCACCACATTATCCAGAGGTTTCAGAACTTGTTCCAGAAAATCACTTCTCCTTTTGTTCAAGCAGTAAAGAACTCCACAGGACAGTATCAGGAGTTTACATTTATAAGAGGGTAAACAGAATAGCTCCTGATGCTTGAAAGACAAAGTCTCTAGATTGTAGACTAAGATTCCTTCCTCATTCACAATGTGTTCAAAAAGCGATTTTAAATACAGAGCCCACTCTTCTGCCTCTTGTTCATATATCACGAGGATATCCTTTGTATTTTCTAGAGAGAAGAAAACATTTTTACAAAATAATTGCAAATGCATTTTCAATCCATTATAAACATCAGAAGACAGATCATTAATTTTTCCCCCTACTAAAAACTTGAGGAGCTGAGAAATCACCTTCAGGAGATATCACAGGTAATCACCTTGAAATGACAACCATCTCCTTATTTCTATGACCAAGGCAGAAAGATTGTCCATAGAAATACTGGAAAATAGCTCAGAATATTATATGTTTAGAATAGCTTCAACTAATATTTCAGAATTTGTGCCCTATGATGACCCTGCTTAAGCAGGGAGGTTGGACCAGATGACCCACTGTGGACACTTCTAGCCTGATCGATTCTGTGATTCTGTGAATAAATGCTGAAATTGCAATGGAGAAAGCAGAGCACATTCACATATTCTGCTCACTCCTAGAGTCTTGACAAATAGGTGATGCTACTAAAAATGGAGCACTTAGCTTTTAATGGCAGAAGTAAAGAACATATGTTTGAACACTTGCACAGGATCTGACTTCATTAGAAAAATGATCATTATGTTTAGGATATTTTGTCAGTATGGTATTAGGATAGTCATTAGGGATATTTCTTTACTGTCCTTATTCTAAGAAAATCACTTATGAACCTGACAAAAATAAATCTAGAAAGATAGATATTTTTTTACTTATCTTTCCTTTTAAGATGTAAAACATGATGCTAGGAAGACAACTAATATTCTTCCACAATTTTACTAGGGTGACAATATGAAACAGAGGCCACAGGCACAAGCTGATACACAGGATACTCCTGTTGAGCATCAGAAAATGCTTTTTTTAGTGTGTATGAGCCCTGGCACAGGCTGTCTAGGGAGGTGGTGGAATCCATCACCTTGGAGCTATTTTTGGTCCTGGCTGTAGGTGACCGCGCCGAGCAGGACAGTGGAGCAAGACAACTTCCAGATGTCACGTCCAACATCTAGCTAGGGAGAATAAAAAAATTGTCAAGGATCCCACGTAAGACCATGTGCAAAAAAAGAAACTGAATCTATATCTCCAGCCCAGGATTACTGCTTAAATTACTATATTTCCCTTCTTTTTACAGGAAATTATTTCTAAATTTTGTTCTTTCATTCTTTACTCAGGTGATATTTCAAACAAAGTATACCCAGCTAAAGGCTGATTGAAACTTGTAGAATAGGGACACTATCATTCAGTCTCTCAAGTTCATGATATTTCTACAAACTGCGTGGAGGATAGTTACCATCTTTTAAAGATTAGTGAATACTCATCCATTCACAAAGTTTTCTGTCAGGAAATCAAAAGGGTCATGCTCAACATGGTAGTGGGTGATGATATTTCAAGATAACTAACCCTGGCCAATACATTAAAGCAGGGTAATATTTGTCAAAATGTATTTGGAAAGGTGGCTGCTGCATTTCCCATGGTAAAAACAATCTGAAAAAATGCCTCTTCCTGATGAAAACTGAAGTTTAATTGTAAGAAAAATCGCAGTGTATTTCTCATTTAACTCAGAGCAAAGTTACTTGGTTTATGATGCTAGAATAAGAAACCTACTTGCTACAATCCTGCAATGTTATTTGTTTTCAGAATCTCATTTGATTTTCCACAACACACACACTAACACACACACACACACAAAGCAGAAACAAAAAGCACAGTTTCAAAAAAAGAAATTGTATTAACAATGCTGTAAGGCCAGAAGCTCTTTCAGTCTGAACACACCATTGCATATCTCAGAAAATGGAATTACCAAGTACCTTCTATGTTCACTATCTATTTACTAAAAGGGCTGTGGAGGGTCTTTAAAAACATAGATTTAAAGACAGTACTTAAACCATGATGAAAGTTTAAGAATTCATCTTTTTTACTCTGTTTGAATTTGCTTAGTTTCATCTTCTAGCCACAGAATATAATTTTATTTATTTCTGAAATCCTTAAGAAGTATCTGTTCTGAGAAATCTGTTCCCTAAGATCTTCAAACTCCCATGAAGTGACTCTTAGCCCTGATTTCATTACAGTTTGTAAACTGGGATTAATACTCTCCCCACTACGAGAGAGGCTTTGTAGAACTTCAACTATTTTTTCTGCAGTTTTGTGAACTCTCCTGCCTTTTCAAAATACTTTTTGAGAAAACCAGAACTGTATACAGGGTAGGAGTTCCTCGATACAGTGTATGGGAAGAAAAAAGTAACCTTGGATATGCATGGAAAGTTCACATTCAGTATTTAAGTTAAAGGGCCTCATTTTAATCTCGTGCTCAGCTGTGTTGCCTTCTATTGTGATGGACTTGGATAAGGACATAGCTAAGTGTAATTGCAGGGAAGGATAAAAAGAGTGTTTAAACTGAATGGCAAACACATTATTTTAGAGCTTCACAGAATATTTGTGTCCTGATTGTGCAGAGGAAAGATCTGCTGGTGTCTTCCACAGCATCCACTTGGCCAAGAGCCCAGGTTTAATTTCCCTGTAGAAGAGCACTGGTAAGGAATAGTGTGCTACTGCCTCATCCCTGTGCAGACTGGAAGCACCCAAAAGACATTCTCATACCCCTGAGCAGGAAAGAACTGCTGGTAACACCCATTTGGACACAGCTGAAGAGCTCTCTGTGTGCTGGACATGGAAAAGTAAGTCCTTTAAAGTAGAAATATTCTTAAAGAGTTGACATTAAATAATAATAATAATAAAAATATACATAAGGTATAAAGTTGACCCCATGCAAATGGACAGTACAAGGTTTGACTACCCAAGAAATTCTAAAGATAGAAGTGAGAAAGTTGCCTTCAGAGGTTAAAAGAAGACATAGAGTAATTCTATTTTCATATGGAGTATCTGCACCTGTTTCCAGCTTT